TGTTCTTTCCCCGAGGATTAGACTGACTAACGTCGTAGAACAAACTTTGTGATTACACTTACCGACCCTGAGACCACAACCCAAACAGCCGTTTTCCATGTCAAGCGATCGGGCAACTCCGCCAGGACACCCTTCCTTGCAGGACTGAATGAAAGCAGATTCTTTGTGGAGTCAGAAAGCAGCAAAAGCAGATCGCCATGGTCGTCCTCGGCTTTATGGTCCACACACCGGATGGGGGGGAACTGTGTGGTTTTCAGGGAATACCAAGAGGTGCTTCAACGACAACAAAAGGTGTTTCTTCGTTTGGAGATCGATATTTCCTGAGTGCATGGTGCATCTGCTTTTTGATCCGCTACTCCCCAGCTGTTGAGGAGTTGGACCTAGCTGGCAACGACATTCCTGAGGACCAGCTGCCACGGCCCGTGTGAGAGGACAAGAAAGGCCCTGTGAAGTCGTAAGGTGTTCCTTCAAGCAACTGTCATGCACGGAGGGGAATGAAGATTGTTGCCCAGTACTCTCGCTCTGCTGGTGTCCATGTTTCACTGTGGCATCTTTTGATGCCCCATGACATCGCTGGATTTGCTACGAACGTCCGAAGTGGAAACCTCTTACAGCTGCAAAGACCAAGACATTTGTATGAAGTGGTCCTACACGACTGGAACTCCTTGTTATCCTTGTCATATCCGTTGTAAACATCAAGCCCGTCATTCGATAAGGGCAAGGGTAATACAGAGGATCACGACTTCTGCCGAGTGCCAGCATTGGCGGCGAGTTCTTTCAGCGCATTTGTCGTCAAATGCACGCGATGGGCACGCGATACGAAGAAATTGGGACATGGGTTCAGGTTCTCTTGGGATATGGGAAATTGTTATAGAATAAAATATTTGATGGTGTTTCATTTATATAGATATTATGTAGATCTGATCAGTGATTGATCCGCCATGTTCGGCAAATCCGAGCGAAGACCGTCTCAAAAGAAGGAGGCCCCCAAACCACTCCTTGTATAGGTATAAAAATCGTCACCATGTTGGCTAGAAAGTACCTTCTTGAGCACCAGTCGTGTTTCTTGGGCTCCTGGAATTGAGATGCAGATAATGTCCTGCCCCTTCGACCAATCGGCTGCCACGGCAGCCGGGACGCGGGGTCCCAACATCTTGAGAGCCCAAATACCAGCAGAATCTCAGCTCAGAGCCAGTGACCGGATGTGCTCGGTGCCATTTCTGGAAGGAGTAACTAGAGGTCCACATTGCTCCATGGAGCCATCAAGCAAGCCACAGAGAGATGGGAAGAGGAAAGGGAGAGAGAGACCCGGAAGGTTTCGAATCCCACAAAAGACGATGGCTGGAGTCTGGAGGAGAATTCGGTGCATGTGGTCATGTTGGATCTTGATTAATTAGTAAAGGGCACCCCCTCCTCTAAACAAATGGGAGGGCCTCTATAATAAACTACCACCAAAACAAATCTGGGTTCCCTTTTCCTTTGCAGCCTCAGATCTTCATCAGATCTTGAGGACTACCACCTTGAACATTTGTTTAGGAGCAATCTTTATATAAAGGATAGATTAAGGAAGTGATGGCTTTGGGAAGCTGTGAGTTTTGAAAAACTACAGAAACCTATGATTACCAATAATACTCTCAGCAAGCCGGTCATTGGCTTGGTAGTGTTCACCGATCTCTGCAGGATTTGAAACACTCCTAGGTTCCCAAAAAATTTAGCAAAAGAGAGAACTCTTAAAACAAACATGGTGTTGAGAAGTAGTTTCAATCAATTTCCATTTTAGAGAGCGCAATTACTAATCAGCATCCAACATTACCGAGTAATAATTCTCCCAGCAAGAGACCCTAAACAGTGCGCCTAAAGGTCTAAGGTTTGGAGGTGCAGAAGCAGAAGGTCTAGATATCTAGACGCACTGGGCTCCACGAAAGGTGATGGTGGTGACGAAGGTGGTGGTGATGAGGGTGGCGGTGGTGGTGGTGGTGCTGGTGGTGGGGGTGGTGGTGGGGGTGGTGGTGAGGGTGGTGGTGAGGGTGGGGGTGAGGGTGGTGGTGAGGGTGGTGGTGGTGTGGTGGTGGTGTGGTGATGGAGGTTCGCAAAGTAGAAAGTCTTAGAATGGAAGGTCTAGGTCGAGAGCTTTAGGGGTGGTAGAGAGAGGGAGGAGCACACATATGACGGACAATTGCTGCACCACCAGCGAAATCTGCACTTCAAGGTCCACATCAAGACTCACATTGCGCAGCCCTGCCAAGGCGATTCGCAGCAAGAGCAATTCCAAAGACAACGTCGAGATAGCAAGAGTTAGCTTTGCTCGAGACATTCTCCGATTTTTGAAAGGAAGCCACATGTCCAAAAGTCACGAATCATTGCGCCTGCCACAAAATCTAAACATCCACATATATCCGCTCCGATCTCCTGCTCCAGCCAGCACAAGGCGACTTTGGACCAGCGAGGTTTCCCTTGTGCCTGCCACGAAAAAGTGAGCACCATGCCCCAAATTGCGCACGGTGCCACAACAAGAGCGCAGTCTCGAAATGCACTTCGAAGATCTCTCGATCAGACACCCGTCCTGAACCCCGATACCTTAAGAACCGCTAGTGTTGCCACACCTTTCCATGAGAAGATAACTGGCGCGTATCAGAACTCTATAGCAAAAATAGAATGTCTCAAGTCTCAAAATCCTTGCAAGACAGTTCGCAGTTCGCTAAGTCTGAAGAGGACTGGAAGATGAAGCCCCCATGCTCCAGCTAAGCGACCAAGAGTTGGGACCCCGCTCATGGGCATTTCCCGCAGAGCCTCAAAAAGGAGCGCGTGTGGTACGGCGCAACGTTACTGTGGATGGTGTGCAAACAGACCCTGCACGGTTCCTGCAGCTCACGCAAGATCGATAACATAATGCACTGCTGTTGATTGAGCAAATGTTGAATTGACCGCTCGTTTTACCGAGATAACGATTCAGGCATTTGGTTACTCAGTGCATCTCAGTGCTAGGACCGCCACACACATTTCCACGGAGCTCTACCAGGATAGTTACGTTCAACATGAGGTGGCCCTGAAAACACAGAGATCAGATCAGTATACCAGCAACCTGTCCTTCTTTTACACAAACCTGTGCTTCTTTCACACTAACATTTGTTGCGTTTAGCTAAAGAAGGTCTTGAACCAACTCTATATACAGCACGCTACTATACATACAAACCTACACACACGCAGACAGACAGATATACAGACAGACAACTTTACAAACAAACATGCATATAACTATTTCATTTCATTCATTCATCTATTCAATCAATAAAGCAATCAATCAACCAATCATTCAGACAAACTTCAGCGGATGCATGATACGACTGCGGTGACAAAACTAACATGCGGCTGCCCCGGGAGCTAGAGAGGGGAGTGTGCGAGGCGAGGCTCGGGAAGAAGGACGCCGAGGTCCTAAGGACGGGAGTGAAAGGAACCTCAAGGAGTGAGGTCAGTCAAAGAAGGCAGGCGAACGCCCCACCAGCGATTCGGGATGTCCAGCGAGACTTCAAGGAAGAGGAGATGTGCGAGGAAAACTGTAGACCTTCAGCGAGGCCACCGAGGACACCATCGAGGTCACCCCCGAAGCGGCAGACCGAAATTCAAGCCTTGGAAGAACCGCTGCTGTGGCAAAGCAAGGGAGTAAGAAAAAGGGAGAAGCAGAAACAGCAGGAGGTCGTCAAAAGAAAGCCTGGCAGATCGCTCATATGGAGGCGCTGCCGTTGAAGTCTGTGGCAGCATCAGCAAGTATTGAAGCCAAGCTCACAGACTTCAATGAGCCCCACCGAGGCGATGTCTTGCGGCGTGGGTGGAGCCAAGTTAGCCATGTCGCTAGTGATTTGCGCATAGAACTTCCTCCCCGCTGTAGTCTATGGTCTTAAGCTGGCGAGGTTATGCGAGCTCGTCTCTGAAGCAGTCAGCTAAATATCTTAAAGATGACCCTACCGTATAGGGGGATGGAAGTCGTTTAGGCTGTAGCGCCTGGAACACGTTCAAGCCAAACACATTCCTCTCGACGACAACAGCGCTTGACCAGTCAGGCGGGTCACCTGTGCTGGTGAGCAACGAAAACACGTTACCCCTGGCCTGACTGTGTCTTGCGTAACAAACCAAGTCCGAATCCCAGAGCGAGTTCACCAATTAACATGCCCGGGTCTGCGACCTTCTGACCGGGACGTCCCTCCACTACAAGCTTGCCGTCATCGATGTCATTGACATGACTCCCTGCCCGCTGCATCCGTGGCTAAAAAGGCACTTTTAAGTTGCGCTTTAGGCGCGCGCGGCTTCTGGGTCCTGTGGCACATCATGTGGACGCCAAGAAGGAAACCGCAGGAAGCCAGCAGAGTTGTCCTCAAAGGAGTTGAGGTGGTGGATGAGTAGGGTGCGGAGGTGACTTGCAGATTGTCCTAGCGTCGCTGGTGATTCTTGTTGCGAGGCACTTTGCCTGTTCAAAAACACGATCTGCTTAGGCCAGAGGTTTGCCGTGGGGCCAGGTCAGGGTATCTGACGGAGATGGATGCGAGAGATCTAGGTCATGATCCCGGCGCCTTCCTGTCACAAAGACCGTTGACTTGCAAAGTGAGATTGGGAAGTTCCACCAGGCTGTGAGGTGGAAATTCATGGGGTTGACGCGGACAGGACTTGCCGAAAGATACAGAGCTGACCGTCGCTGTCAAGGCCAAACACTTGGCCCACTTGGCAACTGAATTCACTATACCGGTGACAGCAAAAAAATCTTTGGGAGCAGTCAGAGGAGCCCGGGGCGCCTCCGCAGTGCACGTGCGTCTGGGTAAAATAACTTAAAATAATAATAGCTGTCATATATAATTGAGCGCTTTGGTCTTGCGTTACGGTGATAACGAGAGAAGAAACAGCGGAGCTATATGATCATATGTGTATATATATTTTATGTTATATAGAGTCGCAATTTCCTATGTCTGACATGTTACAAATAACGCTCAACACTTGCTACCTCCGGCCAGGATGAGGACGTGACCGTGCGGTTGGCCAGTATGGAGGCCTTGTACGCACGTTCGGTGGGTTGATGCCATTGGACGGACCTGTACCTGAGCTCGAACTAGTTCTGGCTTTCCGCTCGCGGTTCTGTAGGCACGATCGCACGATTTTTTGTGAAGTGCATCACTACAGGCACGTCGCAAGTGAAATGTACATGATGTTGGTTGATGTGACAGCACACCATCATACATATACACTGTGACCTTGCTGTTTGTTTGGCGCGCGGCGCATCATTGTTTCTATCATGTCAGGCCCTGCACTGCGCCGGGAAGCGCGGCGTGCGCAAGGGCGATAAGGTGGCCGGTGTGTCGCACCGATCCATTTGACAGAGTTGAGTGAACAAGAATGCCATTAAAAATTACACCTAAGTGATACATTTTTTCATTGTCTGATTTGCATTGATTTGCTGGATTTCAGCTGAATGGTCATTTCCATTTTCTCCCGAATGTCCCCACGGAGGTTCTCGCGAAGCTGGTGAAGGAGGATCCAGACTCGCAGGTGGGATCTCCAGACTTGCAAGGGTGGACTGTATCCATTGGCGCGCAAATGTTGAAAAGTAATTTGTTACAGTCCGATTTCTATTTTTGTGTTCTGAGGTGCGTGTGTGTGTGTTTGTGTAACCCTACCCTTCAAGTCACAGGGATTCCGTCGAAATTGTTTTTTCATTAAGCAGGGGTGCCAGGGACCATGCAAGTCTGGCACTAACAAAGACGCTTGCATTGGTTTGTGAAATCAATCCTGGATGGTGGATTGACGTACCTGCTTTGAGATCCTACGTAAAGCAAAAGTTGTCCACGTTGCTTCCTTCAGTAAGTAAAGGGCTAGCACATCGGCGATTCACCTCGGTTTTTTGTGAGCTTGAAGGCTTGGACCTCGAACTTGACCCTGAACTTTGTTTTGGAGGCATTGGAGGTTTCTTGGAGTCACCTGCTTTCTTAGGCTCTCATATACCTATAGGTGGGCGTGTGGCATGTGGCGTTCAATTCCGTATGCATTTCTATAAGTGCGTCTGGCTTCATGCCAGCCCAGGGTGAGCCCGAGGAGTGCCCTGTGGACCCGTCGACCGGGGATTTTTCCAACGTATCCCCTGCCCGGATACCAAGCAGTCCTGGTCCTATAGGCTTGCGCCTAAGTTATTTGCTAAGATTCGCTGGAATATTGAAACTGAGTAGGCTATATGCCAGAACGTGACCGCAGCGGTCCAAGCAGGCTTAACGCCACGAGGTGGTCACAGCGACCGCAGCCTTTCTTAGGTTCATTGGAACCTGCCCCCACCTTAGGTGCACACACAGCGCGTACTCTCCAAACCAGGCAGGTCTTCCTAGGTCTTTCTAATGAGGTTTGGTTTCATCGGGCCCTGGCCCCTCCATTTGGTTCCCCTTTTCATCTTTTTTCCCCTTGCACACATCTTTTCCCCTTTTCTTTCATGTCTTTCTGCCTTCATGTCTTGGCATCTCATTCCTTCTTTCTTTTGCGCGCACATTGGTCCAGCCCTTAGTTTGTGAGTGCGCATTCACATCTACTTCAAAACCAGGATTCAGGTCGCCCAGGTTTAACAATGAGGTGGGTTTTCATTGTTTGTCCCTGTGCACTTGTTCCTTTTCATCGCAACCACATACACCTTTGTCTTGTCTCGTCCCCTTTTCATGTCTTCATCTTCTTGTCCTTGCTGCGTGCACACATGCGCAATTGCCCGGGCCTTTTCTTTTCTCGCCTCCCCTTGTGGGAGGCGTGTTGTGTAACCTGACTTAGGGATTCCGTCGAATTTGTTTTTTCATTAGCAGGGGTGCCAGGGACCATGCAAGTCTGGCACAAACAAAGACGCTTGCATTGGTCTGTGAAATCAATCCGGGATGGTGGATTGACGTACCTGCTTTGAGATCCTACGTAGAGCAAAAGCTGTCCACTACGTTGCTTCCTTCAGTAAGTAAAGGGTTAGTGCATCGGCGATTCACCTCGGTTTTTTGTGAGCTTGGACCTCGAACTTGACCCTGAACTTTTTTTTGGAGGCATTGGAGGTTTCTTGGAGTCACCTGCTTTCTTAGGCTTTTGTACGCATTTGTATATATAAGTGTGTGGGATGGAATGTTGTCCGGCAACAAACATGTGTGCGCACAGACATGAAATATGTGTATGCTGAAGTTATATTTTTCATTTTGTTATGCTAGATCATTTGTCTACAGATTTTGTAATTCTTTGTGTGCAACCCAATCATCCCCTTTTCGTGTTGTTTGTTTGTTTGTTGTGTTGCGTTGCGTTGTGTTGTGTTGGTTGGTTGGTTGGTTTGTTTGTTTGTCTCGTGTTAATTTGTGGTTTGTTATTATCATGTCCGGACAGACGTGCCATGTTCCTGAAACATTGCTCCAAATGTTTGGGACGCTCAATATTGTTGGAAGGTATTTGTTAAATATTTTTTTATCGCATTCAGCAAGCCTCCCTTTTGGACTCAATCCCCTTATTCCCAATGAGATTCCCCGGGCTCTACTACCACCCCCACATGAATCAGGTCCACCGCTGAATGAATATGATTATTTGAGAATTTCGAGGAATAGGCTATCGGAATGCCACACGGAAGTTCCCGGTTCTTTATCCACAACGACGAACCAGTTTCATTCGAATTCATGGATCACGCCGGATCAATCCCACACGCCCAACAAGGATCACCGAGTTTCAAAATTAATCACGAAAGCGAGCTCCGAAGGAGAGTCTGCTCCAGCTTTCGTTTACAAGGGGATCTCAGAATTGATCGTTCAAAAGGACCGACTTTACATATCATGATATATCATTACAAATCAAATTGATAGCATATTGATTCACTGGGGGGGTTCCCCCCCCCACATTAGGACACACGGATCACAAACATCATGTGAGTGGTCGGAATTAGCTTAGTGACACGACGGCTGTTCCAGATTAAGGTTTGGTCATTTCCGCGCACGTCTTATTGGTGACACGACAGCGCTGAGGCATCAGAGAGTACACCATCGCCTTCATTGATAGTAATTTTATTGCTGATTGCTGATGGTAGTGGCATGAACAAAATATTTGGTTTCGTGCCCGCTTCTCAAGTGGGACTCAACTATAATCTTTATATCATATCGCTAAAGTCGTATGTTGACCTATGATTAATAAAGGGACCCGGAATGAAGTTAGCCGATCTGCGCCCTGATTAATAAAGGGACCCGAAATAAAGTTAGCACATGTTTTTTGTTGTGTCTTATTGATTTGTTTTATACTAACTCACCTTCGTTTTAATATGTGTTTTAGTAAGGGTGCATTTCATTTTATTATATAGTTATTTCTTGGAACCTGGGATGCACTTTATTTAGTGTTTCCTAAGAATTTAAAAAATTGGACTGTACATTTGATTAATCAGAGGTCAACTTTAGGTGAATAGTATCACATAGTCTCCCCCTGCTTGGTGTCCCACACCTGTTGAAAAACCCAAACTTCTGGCGCGTGCGCGTTGCTCCCGTCACAGGTCCGGCGTGAGGCACGTTCGCCGCTCCGTGGGGAAACCGCGGTTCAGCTTGGGGAGCGACGGCTTGGGAGTTCCCCAAGCTTGTTGCTAGTCCCAGACACTCCATGGGACTGACATACTTACCTACATTGGGGTGGTTTCAGGGGTCAATTTAGGCAAATATGCCATACATGGAGTGTCTGGGAGTTGTTCTCTTGGTGGTTTTTCTGATGATGACTTGTGGATGTGAATCGGCGAATGAGAACTCGATGGATTTGGGAGGCAAGATTTTCTCTTCAGACGTCTAAGGCTAAGGAGTCTTAAAAACATTGCCAATACTGTTTCTTGACCTGAACTTAAGATCATGTTTGACCCAAACCACACTGCGTTATTGGTTTCACACCCAAGGGTCCGGAATATTGATTTGATAGTGTCACAGTGTCAACATGACATTATGTGGTCTAAACAAGATCAGGGTGCCCTCAAAACGGAATGCGGAGGGTGTCTTTTTTCGTAGCAAATGAGTTCTGCCGCTCAAGCCACCGCGATCTTGGAAACTCGGCATCTGGCATCTGTTGTTTCTTCTCTAGACCTTCAGATCCAAAACTCATCGGCAGCTTCGCCAGGCCTTGGCCCTGCTTCGACACTATATGATTGCTGGGAAGTTTGGCCTTGACGGCGTCTTCTGAGAACATCCCGGAAGCTGCGGGGTGGAGCGAGCCATGGTGTGAGCCATGCGCAGATGGTGGCGGTATTTGGAAGTGGCATTGGTTTTTCCAGTGCCACTGAGCTTTTCAGGGTGCAGTTGTGATAGGGTCCTTTAAGTCTGTATCTATACATTTGAGAACCCAAAGCGGTCAGAACTTGCCAGCCACTGCAATGTTTTAAGACATAAAGGGAAGCGCGGTAACACGCTTCCCTTGGCAAAACCCTCCATTCAATTGACGCTTTTAGACCAAAGTTGTCTGTTTCAGTGGCAGAAGCCATTGATTCTGCGAAATCAAGCGAGGTAGTACTTGCTTGCTTCTAACGTAGCTCGTTTTTGTCTTTCGACCAGTTTGCTGTTTCCAATTGGCCGAAATTATGGCACCTTGCATCGGGCAAAGAAAGCAAATGCATGCAACCTTATAACTGAATCATAATCATAGCTTTGTTCGATGAAATCTGATTCCGTTTGCTTGCTGCGCCAGGAGCATCGCTCCGTGGCAACTCTACTCAAAGCCAGACCAGACTGGTGTGACAATCGCTTTCATTTTAGACCAAGATTTGGTGACTGCCTGGATGAGGACTTGGCGTTTTCCAGATTTCAGGAGTCTCCTGTGAATCCATGCTGGCTCAAGCGCATTTTGCGGCTCCGCGGGCTCCGCGGGATCCGCCGGCGTCAAAACCTTCGTAGAACGAGGCGAGAGGTGCCCAAGCACCACGCGCGTGCAAGTAGAGATAGATATTTACAATTTGATCCATATAAACAGACTATACTAATACAATGAAGACTTGATGAGTCTGTCATATGGGGGGATTGAAATATCATCAAGAGTCTACACTAAATCATGTTAGACTGTAGTTAGAACCATTGAAGCCCAACATGTTATGCGTTTGAGAAGACCGATTTGGATGCATGTGTTCCAAGATGTTGACTGCAGAAGTTGATGTTGAGTTGAGTTTAGTTGTACTGGACTAACTACACAGCGGGGGCAGTACATGTCATTGCATCGCGGTCTCACTTCTTAGGGGTATCTTTCTTGGTTACTTCTGCATATGTGTCTGACCTTTCAGCCTTTCCTTTCTTTTCTTTGCATTTGGTGCCTTCATGCTTTCTTTGTTTCAAGTCTTGTTTTTGCATGCGTTGTGTTTTTCTTGGGCCCTGAAATTGGGAAACCTCTAAGTTCCAAGCAAGAACGCCGTCGACGTCAAAGCAAGTTTGTTGAAGCAAAAGCAAACAACTGCAGCAACCCACAAACAACAAGTACGTTGGACAAATTGCCAAGGCCCAAATCCAAGCAGATGAGCTGAAAGTTGATTTGTTCGGCGCCGGATGTGTTGGACTGAACTCTCTTCAAAGGACGGTGCAAACCAAGCACTCAGCGCTCAACGGTTCTCTTGACGTGTCTTGCAAAAGCATAAAGATGAAAAACATAATTCAGCTGCATGTGTCCAATCGACTATGTTTTTGTTTGAGTTTAGGGTTGACCCACAATGTGACAACATACAATCCTACATACATTTGTGGCCTTGCCGTTTGTTTGGCACGCGGCACATCATCGTTTCTTCCATGTCAGGCCCTGCACTGTGCCGGGAAGCGCGGTGTGCGCAAGGGCGATAAGGTGGCCGGTGTGTTGCACCGATGGATTTGACAGAGTTGAGTGAACATGAAAGTCACGTCATGAAAAACTGATTAAGAGAACGGGGGGGATCCGGTTGAAAAATAGATTGCATGATTGCAGCTGAAAGGCGATTTCTGAATGGAAATTTGTGTTTTTTTGTGATTTGGTATCATTTTCTCCCAAATGTCCTTGCGGAGGTTCTCGCGAAGCTGGTAAAGGAGGATCCAGACTCGCAGGCGGGATGTCCTCCAGACTCGCACGGGCAATGATCAGTGCTGAGTGTTGAAATTTTACATTTTGAATACATAAGTTGGCACGCACATGTTGAAGAGTTAGCGCAACTGGTGCATGAATCGCGTGAATCAACCAGGAGTTTGCAAGTTGAAGGATGATTTGTTGGAGGTCAAATTATGTTTTGAGGTGTGTGTGTGTCCACCTCTGTAACTAAGAGTTTCTGTTGTTCTCAACTTTTAAGTCGCAGGGGGCGCGACGGTCGATTTCCTAGTCACGCCAACGAAGCTAGGGCTAGGGAAATCGACTGGATGGAAATTTGGACGCAAACTTCTGTACCTGCGCGGATGAAAACTTTTGCACACGCTGTGACTCCACTTTTCCTTTTGTTGTTTCCATGGTGGCTGCTCGCATGATATCCCCCAAAACAGGTTTCCTTAGCTTTGGTAAAGTGCTAGTGCGTTGGACCCTTGCACCTTACCGTTCTTGCGGTAAAGGGCTAATGCAGTAACCAGCTTCCGCAGTCAAGTGTGAAACCACTTTGTTCAAACACCTACAAGTGCTTGGACTCTTCGCCTTTCTGTTCCACCACCTTTCTTTGACTTGGGAACTGAGTTAACAGCAAACCAATGTCAGAGTGTGACTCGCTCAGTCGTCCCACTTGGGTGCTGGGTGTGATCCTCCGCAAGGAGGCGCCGTTTTCATTCCGGAACTCGTGTAACTGCTTCGACCGTCTTCACCAGACCTTGGATTCTCTTAACGGATTTAGTTTCGCCACTGTATTCCCTGCAACTTATGCCGCCGGGCTTCACGGCAATTCCACTCTCTTTGATCAGACTCACGTTCATGTTTGCAGCTTGATTTCACTTTCGAGACTGTACTGTCTCACATTTCCAACCACGACCACTTTGAGATCGGACACGTTACGGTTCCTTGTGTTTGTCCACACTTGCACTTCCACCCCCCCCACCTTGCAACCTAATTCGTGTTTCTATCCCACCCGCTATCTAGGGTAACAGAAGGAAATGGTACTCGACACACTTGTGTGTCCGTATCTTTCCTTCTGTTTCTCCTTTTCTACTCCTAGCTACCCGGGCGGTCTAAGACGTATGTTCCGCTCGCTAACTAGTGCATGTAATTCATGCGGCTAAGTAGTCGGTAACTAGCAGGTTTCGTAGCTAGTGGGCCTTGTCAATACACCTATCTTTCTCTCTTTCCTTTGCGTTTTCCTTTCTGTCTTTCTTTCCTTTCGTTCTAAGGCTTTTTAGGTGATTAGTAAGTTCGCCGAGAGCGCCGATATCGGCGTTCTGTGTGTGTCCACCTCTCTAACTAAGAGTTTCTGTTTTCTCAACTTTTAAGTCGCAGGGGGCATGACGGTCGATTTCCTAGTCACGCCAACGAAGCTAGGGCTAGGGAAATCGACTGGATGGAAGTTTGGACGCAAACTTCTGTACCTGCGCGGATGAAAACTTTTGCACACGCTGTGACTCCACTTTTCCGTTTGTTGTTTCCATGGTGGTTGCTCGCATGATATCCCCCGAAACAGGTTTCCTTAGCTTTGGTAAAGTGCTAGTGCGTTTGTTAAGCAGTTCTGTTCTTCGGACCCTTGCACCTTACCGTTCTTGCAGTAAAGGGCTAATGCAGTAACCAGCTTCCGCAGTCAAGTGTGAAACCACTTTGTTCAAACACCGACAAATGCTTGGACTCTTCGCCTTTCTGTTCCACCACCTTTCTTTGACTTGGGAACTGAGTTAACAGCAAACCAATGTCAGAGTGTGTGCGATGTTTTTTTATGCCAAAAGTAATTTGCACGCGCCGTACAAACATGAAGTATGCGTATGCTGAAGTAATATGTTGCACGCTAGCTGCTAGATAATGTGTCGAAAACTCTTGTACAACCCAATCGACCCTTTTTCATCCTTTTTTTGTGTTGTGCATCGCGTTTTGCGTGTTGTAATTTGTGCGATTTGTGATTTGTTTCATGATGTCCGGACGGAAGTGCCGAGTTCACGAAGCATTGCTCCACATGTTTAGGGTGATCATTATTGTTGGAAGGTATTCGTTGGTTGCCTTCATCAAATGTTTTGGACCCAACCCCTGTATCCCCATGAAATTCCCTGGGCCCTAGTACCAACCCCACATGAGTCAGATCCACCACTGAATTAGTTTTCAATAACTGCAGGAAGGGCCTAACCACAGTTTTCTGGACCTTGATTCCAAAAATCGGAGTGCCACATGGAAGTTCCCAGTTTTTGACAACGACGAAACCATGGTCGTGACCTTCAAGATTCCTTCGAATACGTGGATCAAACTGGATCAATCCCACCCGAAACGAGGCAGATCACCTAGTTTCAAATTAGGATCAATCACGAAAGCGAGCTCCGAAGGAGGTCTGCTCCAGCTTTCGTTTTTTAAGGGATGCTCAGAATTGATCGTTCCAAAGGACCGATATTGTGTATCACTACAGAAAAATTGATAGCGTATTGATTTAGTGGGGGGCACCCTCCTCCACATTAGGACACATGCATCACCTGTTTTTCTTAAACGACTTCTATCTTCCATGTGGTTATTTTCACAAGCATCCCTTGTGTATATTTTGCAGGTTCCTTAAGCAAATCCAAGCTCACAAACATTTTTTGAGAGTGGTTGGAATTAGCTTGGCGACAGAGAGGTTGTTCCAAATTAGGGTTGGGGTATTTCCACACACGTCTTATTGGTGACACTAGCGCTGAAGGATTAGAGAGTGAGAGAGTACACCATCGCCTCCATCGATTGTAATTCTCTTGGGATTCAATTATAACCAATTATGCTACTGTACATCGCTAAAAAATGACTCGTAGTATCACATAGTAACCCTTATCCATCTATTGGTGTCCCACACCTGTTGAACATCCCCAACCGTTGGCGCGTGTGCCAACCGTTGGCACGTTGGGCTCCCGTCACAGGTCCCGCGTGAGGCCGGGGAGGAGACGGAGCGACGGCTTGGGGTATACAGGAGTTCCCCTTTGGTTCCTTTTCTGACTTGTGGAAGGGTGGCATGAATTCGACTCGATTGATTTTTTGAGGCAGGTCAAGTTTGGAAGGACACACAGTTTTTTGAGAGTGCGTGGTGGCAGGGATGTAAAATTTGCCTTTCAAATGCAGAAAAGGCCAAAACATTGCCTTATTTGTTTGACCTGAACTTGATCATGCTTGACTTGACCCAAGCCACTCTGTGTTTTTTGGCTTTACACCCAAGTAGCCTATGGATTGCACTTTTGGTTTGTCAACGAGATAGTGCCACAGTGTCAACATGACATTCTGTGATCTCCTACTTAAGTAGTCTTAAGCAAGATTCGGGGGCCCTCACAACGGACCCTGGAGAGCATATATTGTAAGATATTTCAAGTAGCAATTGAATTCTGCCGCCCACATGTGAAGACATCTCGATCTTGAAAACTAGCACTGTTGTTTCTGCTCAAGACCATCAGATCCAAAACTCGCTGCTTCACTGCATTTCCCCAAACTCTTCACTCCCACCATTCCGCAACCACCCGGTATTGCCATCCGCATTCACCACCAGGCCTTGGCCCTGCTTCGACACTACATGATCGCTGGGAAGTTTGGCCCCGACGGCGTCTTCTGAGAGTTTTTTCTGTCCGACGTCGTTTTGGGGTTTGCCCGAAGGCTGCGACCCCGATCCCGGTTCCGGGGTGGAGCGAGCCGTGAATTGCAGGATGCGCAGATGGTGGTGGAAGTGGCATTGGTTTTTCCAGTGCCACTGAGGGTGAAAGGGAAGCGCGGTAACATGCTTCCCTTGGCAAAACCTCCATTGAATTGATGCTTTTGGACCAAAGTTGTCTGTTTCAGTGGCAGAAGCCATAGATTCTGCAAAATCAAGGAGGTAGTACTTGCTTGCTTTCAATGTAGCTCGTTTTTGTCTTTCGACCAATTGCTGTTTTCAATTGGTCGAAATTATGGCACCTTGCATCGGGCAAAGAAAGCAACATCACGCAACATGGTATTTGAACCTAGTTTCTTGATGTTTCTTGATTGAATCTGGCTCCGCTTGCTGCAAATGGATCATCGCTCCTTGGCAACTTGAAACCAGACGAGACGGGTTGCTTTCATGTTCGACCAACATTTAGACCAACATTGTGTGACTGCCGGGTGGAGGACTTGGTGTTTTCCAGGTCATTCAGGAGTCTCATGAATCCATGCTGGCTCGTTTTCGCTGTTTGCGGCTCCGTCACCCCCCGGGTCACGGGAGCATCATCGGAGGCGAGACGATCTGCACAATGTAGACGATGAGTAAACCCCCCAGACATGGTTTGTAAAGACTATCATATGGAGTTCAAATATAAACATGCTCGTCACGAAATCAGCTAAAACCCATTGTGTAAAACCCAACATGTTGTGCGTTTGAACTGATGATTGTTGATGCTTGAGTTCCTGGACTGGGATGCCAAAATGTCATTGCGTGTCATTGCGTTATGCGGAAATGTTCCAAAGCGTTGCCCTTTCCGGAACACATGGGTGCTACTGGCTGGGTTGTTCGAGTGCTGAGAGTCATGTGCGCCGACCACCCGTGTTTTTGTGTGTTTCATCCAGTCGACTGGTCTGACTTATGAGTTTCGATGTTCGTGTCTCTTCCTTCTTTCTTACTGCAGTTTGTGTCCCTTCCTTTCTTTTCCTTATGCATTTTGCAATTTGGTGTCCTTGTCGTTTCTTCTTGGGCCCTGAAATTGGGAATCTTCTTAGTTCCAAGCAATAAAGCCGGTTCCGCTTCAAAGCAAGTTTGTTGAAGCCGAAGCAATTAACCACAGCAACCCGTGCATGTACGGGCAAATTGCCAATGCCCAGATCCAAGCAGATAAGCTCGCAGTTGATTTGCTGACAGGGTTGTACCGGAAGTTCTGGACCTCATGGACTCTTCTTGAAAGGGCGACCCAAACCGAAAACCAGTGCTCAACTGTTCTTCTGAAGTGTCTTGCAAACACTTCTGTTGAACAAACTCAGCTGGATTTGTCCAGTTGACAATCGCTAAATTCAAAACAACAACTGTATAGTTGAATCCGCTGAATGCCCAGCAGCCATCTTTGGTCATCCGAGTCATGTCGACACCAGGTGTCGGGCGAGCATGGCGAAGGTGGGAGGCCAGCTGGTACAGTCGTTTCTTCTGAGGAGTAGTCGTCTATTGGTTTGGCCCGAAGCTGATACTTTGATAATCATGACGTGTTGTCCACTGTCGTTTCAAGATGTACTTGCCCCATGATTTGCGTCAAGATGCTGCTTGCAGCGGTTTGAGAGAGGGTACCTCTATATTTGTTTGTGGTTAATGAAGCAGTGAACGCAAAACACGTGACCAGAATTGCTGACACATTTGAGCGACCTGTGACAGGAACAACGATGTTGAAACGTGGCCGGCTTCAAGATGGCTTCACCATGGGAAAGTGTGAGGGAGCACTGTTCCCTGGTGTCGAAGGAGTTCCCACATCAAATGCAAACACACGCACTATATACTATGTGCTTTGATAGGGGAACTTGTCGCTTCACGTTTGGCAGGGAATCGGTTGATCTTCTCTTCCAAGACAGTAGCTGAGATTGGAAAAGATCCTGTAGGTAAGGTCAATCCAGGGGTACAGGGTTGCCAGCGAGTCAAATAGAAGTTAGACTGGCTGAACAGCTGCAGACACAGGTGGTCAAGAAATGAACAGCATTTGTCTTGGCAACAGAGTCAGTTGCACAAACGAGATGGGCTTATCCATGAGACTTTGTGCCAGAGTCTAATCGATCCAGGATTTCCAGATGAGCAGCGCCCTAAACCTCCCTTGACATGTTTGTTAAGAGCTTGGTCATCGCTGGCATAAATTGCGTAATGTTGGTCGATGCGAACTACGGCAAGCTTTGTCAAAGGCCCTGTAAGTGCATACTGGAATTCCGTGCTCGCACAACGCGCCTTTAGAACCAAACTGAACCTATAGCATTTTAGACTATGTGAACCCAGCTGCGCTCAAAGCAAGCCAGCTGCGCTCGGAATCGCATTTGCAACGTGTGCAAACGTTGGCTTGAAAGACCCAAGTTCTGCCAAAAAAGAAAGGGGCGCCAAGGAAAGCCTGTGTGTGTGTTTCTCTTTTTTGTGCTGACAAAGTCATGGTGTCCACCTGAACAACCACCATTTGAATGAAAGCCGACGCAAAGTGACTTCTGGAGCGATTGCTTCAGCCTCAAGTTCCGAGAGTAGCTCTCAGTGCTTTCAGACTATAGGTCAATGAATGAAAGCTTATTTGCTTTTTGTGCTGATTTGGTCTTATTTATTTCTCACTCAACTCGACTGATCAATGAGCTTTGGATTGGCGGGCACGCCGCCGGCGCCGTCCGGATGAATGCCTGACGGGCTTCGATGCAAGAAATGCAAACGTCCACGGCTTTTGCGACTGTGTTTAGACTGGCTCTGGCGTTTTCAGCCTCTAGGTCACCCCGATAGGAGGCCACGCAACCAGTCACACAATATTGCACAAACATACAAACCGAACCTTTTGCCTGCTCGGCCTGATGGAAGCTGACAGGAGAATAGCTGTACACTCCCAACGTAGGTGCTACGATTTCCACTTGCACTGAAGAGAGAGGAGTGTCTAAAGCTTCGGGAATTTATTGACACTGTGGAGTTTTCCTGAGCACAGTTTGCAGTTGGGCTGTAAGAGTTTGCTCCTAAGCAAGGATTGCGGTCAGGTTTGTGTGGTTGCTGTCTCTATATATAGGAGTACAGAGCAGATGTGTCCCTCTCTTCATGCAATCAGAGGTGAGCACTTCCCAGGAAGCACGCTGCACAATTTCTGCCCCTAACGAAAGAATGGGTGCTAAGGCTGCTAAGGAAAGTCAGTGCTGAGTGAGTGCGCGAGGCGTGGAAGCGTCGACTGAAACCCAAATCCAGACACAATATTTGCACGGATGAAAGCCACATACAGAGAGACAGGCACGGGATGGGTGTGGCCTTGGGTCATTTGAACTGTGCCAAGAGTAAGATTGCTACACGCTTCGCTCAGCGCCCAGACACAAAATCTGTGGCAT